ACCTTTAGAAGGATTTTGGGTGATGCTAGTGATTTTTTGTTAGGGAAAACACCAGTAAATTCCTATATTTTGATTGTGTTTGTTTTTAATTTTTTTGTTTTATTTTATTATTTCCAATTCTTTTATTTTCAATCTACAACTTTAATCCTAAAGTTTTAAAATGTCTATAAAAATCATGTGCTGGTACTGACAGAATTAATTTCATTAACATATACTAACTTTGTTAATCACAACATCACAAGGATTAGCAAAATTAAGCACATTAAGGATTTAAAATCTCATATTTTAAATCCATGTATTTCAAATCCTTTATTTAGGTAGTTAAAAATTTTTAAATTTTAATATTAAAATTCTTTGTTTGGATTGTGCAAGAAATTTCAAATAACCATAATTAAATTTAAGTTTTAATTTTTTATTGTTTTGCATTTAAATTATCAATAAAATTTTTACCTTTCAACCGTATTATCCTAATCATTTTAAAGAAAATTTGATCAATAGAAACAACCTAAAAATTTAATTTAAAATGATGAATTATAGAATTAATTTGTCATTCAACAATAAAACAAAATATTAATTATATTGTTAAAATTTTGAAACACCAAAACCAAATATTCTCAATGCCAAGTAAAGCAAAATATTAAAAATATTACCAAAATTTTCAAACACCAAAACAAAATTCACATTTATTTTTCCTTGCATTTATAATCCGACTTTAAAAAAGAGAAAACTTGAGTATATACATTTTGACTACAAATTCAAAATGGCTCGTAATGATTTCAGTTCCAACATAATCAAATTAAAAAGCATCAATATAGAAAATATAAAGAAATCTTTGACTATAAATAAATTCCGATATAATAAGAAAAACTCATATCGCTCCACACCAACGTGATATTCATCCCATATTTACAAAGCTAAAGTGTCTATATATGTTATAGTATCAATGTCAAATAAATGAAAAATGGGAATGTTTTAACAACAAACAGAATGTTGAATATTATCAACTTTTAAGAAGAAATTGAATCTACTCTTTTTTCTCGTCATCGGAAAGGTATCTGAGTAAATTAAACTCTTTTATATCACCCTTTATTAGCTTTCTAACAGTTTGAATCACTTCTACCTTTTGAAGTCCTCAAATTAGGGAAACTATAGAATGAACTTATTTTCCACCAAGTTTTTTTTTTGGCTTTGTAGAAATTTGAAGCACCTTCACCAGTGGCTCTTCCACTCCCCCATAGCATGACAATGTCTTCCCAATTCTCTGTTGTTTTATTTTGACAGCCATTTGCTTTAGGAAAAGTCTAGGAAAAAATAAAAGTGATTAGATGAAACATTAATAACCATTAAAACTTCACATACCTCAAATTTTAAAATAAATTTCGTACCATTAAAACTCTACATATTTCAACATATTCATTCCATTTGACAACATCTTCTATTTCAATTACCGCCATTTTTTTATCATCTCATTTGAACTTTGTCCTTGTTCTGATATTAGTAATAATTGAATAATGCCTTTTCCAAGCCTTCATTCTATTCTTCACGTTACTAACCACCAAAGTAATACTGAATTTTGCATGTAACACATCTACTACAGCTTGATATGCTTGAGGTTTTCAATCCCCTTCACTCTTGTTATCTAGAGCTAATTGTTCATATAGCACTTGAGCAAACAAATTATCCATTCCACATGACATATGATCTTGATTTTTCTTTTCCCTTTCCATTTGTTGGCAATCTAGAGTTGGATAACTGACCTTGTGCAAAAATTTTAATTAGTGTTAACTGAGAAAGTGAAGAAGATGATGTAATGTGACTATTCCTTGCTCTCACCATTGCTTGAATTTGGAATTCTTTGCTGCTCATTTTCTGTTAACAAAGATCAAGAAGGCAATTAACAATTACAAGTCATTATGAAGAGCAAAAAAAGAATAACGAATTAAACAAATTAATAGTTTATAAATAATTGTTTACACTCCACATTGAACTGAACAATTACAAGTCATTAAAAGAATGCACTTGACAATAAAAATAATCTATTATATATATTGGTTCCTTATAAATAAAGAGTGTCAAAGATTAGGACATGTTGAAATTATGATAAGAAAATCCAAGATCAAGAACAATGATTAGGCAACTACTAGCTGAGATATGGTTCAAAATGTAGAAACTGATTTTGGTAGGACAAGCAAAGATGTTTTGAAGGCGCACTTTGGCTTAGCAACTGTAGAATAAAATTTTGTGGATTTTTTGAGCTAACTTTTTCCTTGTTATTCTCCTTTTTTTTTTTTAACACAACATACTTTTAGTTCAAATAGAAAAGGTAACACAACTACACAAGTTAGGTTGGAGCATTAGGCTTTTCAGATATATCAGCTTCTACGTGGTTCCTATGTCCTGACAGAGGAGTTTGAAAATCATGTGTTATTCATCTCTTTTTTTGCTTTCTCTTAAGAGCAATTCTTTGAGTGTTCTGCTCTTGTTTTTTGCTGTGACATTGCGCTAAAGTGCCACCACTTCCTTTATAATAATCCAGCGCAAGCTTGGATTAGTGTATGGCATTTTAGTGGCAATATCACAGTATCTCAAGTGCCACACACTTCCTTGGTAGAAGCAAAAAAAGGTAGGTTTTGATGGAGTTGGTCAATAAAAGATTTATCAATTTTATTTTGCAGTTTCTAAGCCAAAGTGTGCCTTCAAAACATCTTCGCTTCTCCTATCAGAATCAGGATTAAAACACACTTGTCTTAACCTTGTTTACCAACCCCTAGCTTTCATACACTTCTTATCAGTCCTATAGTTGTAATCATTGTCCATAAATTCTCTAGGAGAGATTTCAAAAAACAAACCAAATTGCAAAGAAAAGAAAAGAGTGTCTAGCCTTGAATGCCATTCTAGTTTGTGAGCGAATTTTCACTCTCCAAAAAAAAAAAAGTACTTCGAGCATAAAACCTTCTAACTATACCTAACACTTTTAAGGAGGGTCCAGTTAGAATTACTATCCACTTCTGTTGCCTTATACTTGTTGCTAACCTGTCATCTCTGCTCAAGAATCAAGTTGAGTTTCTTCATGATAATATAATAATCCATACAGATTAGAAAATCAATTAAAACCAAACAAATAAAAACATTTTCAAATGTACCATGTTGCTAATAGCAATTATTCATGGAAAATCACCATTGGAATTCAAGAGTTCACTTATCGAACAAATGTCCTATTCAAATTGTACGCAAGAACCATGTATATATATATATATATTTGTCAACAAACTAAATATGAAGAATTATTCACTAAATATTAGAGTAAAAAAACATAAATTCATCTAATCCTAGATCAAACAGCAAAAATAACAAGGGAGAAAATCTCAAATATAATATAAATATCAGAACCAATTCACCCAACAAATATGTCCAAAACATATTTGGGGAATTAAGAGAGACAAGCTAACAGAAGAGGAAAGAAAGAAAAGACCAAAGAAGATAGTGATGATGTAAGTGTAGATAAAACAAAGAAAAGCTTTGAGGAATGAAGGACATAGAAGACTGGACTCATCTGAGTGAGAGACGAGAATGGCACTTAAATGAGAGAGCCAAGAATGGAGTAGCAATCGGTAATGACAATGCAAGATACGACTGATGAGGATGGGGTAAGGATTGCAACTTGAAATAATGGGATTTTAGGAAGTATTTTAATTTACAAAAAAATTAGGAATATTTTTAAGTGCCCAAACAAAGAATTTGGCCCAAATTTAAATTTAAATTTAATGCATAAACATCCAAACACAACATAAGAAAATTCATAGTTTTCTTACTGATGAAATCTCCATCTTATTAAACCAAACCATAATTTTGTGGGGTTCAAAACACTTAATGACTAGCTTTAAGAAGGGTAGGCTTTCAAACGATAATATTTATTCTGATTGGGTACGGAATGATTAATTAATGTAATTGTGATTAATTAAATCAATTACATGCTTTGGCACAGTACATGTGGAAGGTGATAGCGTAGAGAAGCTAACAAGACATGGTACCCAAATAGAATGAAGGTAGCTTAGGTTATCGTCTTGTTTGGAGGAGAGAGAAGACAAAAGGAGGAATCACTTTAATTAATTAATTAATGGTGGATAAGATTAAAGAACTGAGTATAGATTTGAAATTGACAGTGTTGAAACACATAATTGAGAAGAATCAACAGCCTATCATTCTTTATGCGGAAAATTAATTAATGATTCGACAAATGGTGGGATGGGAGGCTCAGGAAAGCCCACTGGAAAAACAATAATGATGATAATTTAGACCAACCAATCACATCATTGGATTATGATACTTCATTTTTACTCGATGGGGCCAACAAAATAGCGACCTCTCCAAACATAAAATATATTCCATTGTGAACATGTAATCGAATATATAGTCTAATCAGTACTCGTATTGTCAAATCACATGTGCGTCCGTGAATCACCTATCCATATGTTCATTTAAAATTCAAGAAATAAAATATACAAATTACGTTATGAATATAAAATATCAACACTCATTCCTTTTTCCCCCTTCTAAATACAAGACTTAGTGAAATTTTTGTTTTAAATTTTAAACTTAAATGTAAGATAATTATTCTTCTTTATCTCGTTTATTATTTTTAATGTAAATAATTAAAAAAAAAGAATATGTTAGAGATACCAACAAGTATTTTTTTCAAATAACTAATTTAATTATTTTTTTAAATATATGTAAATTAATTATTTCACTTCCACATTTAAGATTCAATGGAGTATTATATATGTAAATAATGATAATGAGACAATAATAATAATGAAATAATGCTAGACCATACAATAATTATTTCGTTCACCTTTTTTAATATCAAATAGAACCAAATATCATCATAATTCTAAATATAAGGACTCTGTAACAAAGTAGGAAAATTTATAATTAAACCTTTTTTAAATTTAAAATTTATTACTTAATGTGCGGGTGCGTGTTTTAATCTACTTAAAATATCTATGCAAAGACTCAAATCTCTTGAAAGGAAAAATACAATGGGAACCACACAGTAAGCACAACCCCTAGGATCGCGTGGTGAGGCTTTTCAGCCAGCATGCCCCACAAGATCAGAGACACGAGCAGCACTAAAAAAATAACAGTAAGCCAGTTCCTCTTTCATCCGAAGTGGCGGATGCACTGGGATTGGGACTTCCCCTAATTTGACTACAATAAAAGCTCGTCATATATGTATATATGTGCGCTTAGCATTCTCTGCTCTTTCCAGTATGTCCCGACGGCCATCTACAAACAAAATTAACTGATGATCTCGGTAAGTAATGGTACGATCTAGTCACTATTACAGGTAATTGGTATGGGACTATGGATTACATGTGTGTGTCCCATACTTATTCCTTTCTCTCAAAACACGACAAGAGTTTTAAACTCAACAAGAGACCCCCATATTACTATGTACAAGAGCTGCTATCGCCCTGGCTGTAGCCTATTATAGGCATCAAAGGCTTAGATCCTGCATCATATTAAGAAAGTTTGTCTTTCCCTCATCTCCGGACAGCTTGCTGAATGCTGATCACAAAATAACACAAGTGCTGGGACTGTCTTCCATGCTTTGAGCATAGTAGCTGGCCATGGGGGGATAATATGCCATGTAGGGATTATTTGCCATGTGGGTATTATATGCCATTTGGGGATTGTACGCCATGAAGGGGTAATATGGCCTGTTATAACCCCCCCTCCCCATCTCTAAAAATGCAGGGTCTGGGTGTGGAACCGGACTTGGGACGGCGGCTGGCTTTTTCTCCTCTTCTTTCTTCTCCTCCTTCTTTTCATCCTTCTTCTCCCCTTCCTTCTTTGCTTCTTCCTTCTTCTCCTCTTCTTTCTTTCCTTCCTTCTTCTCCTCTTCTTTCTTTCCTTCCTCCTTCTTTGGCTCTTCTTTCTTTTCTCCCTCCTTCTTAGGTTCTTCTTTCTTTGGCTCCTCTTTCTTCTCAGGCTCCTTAACTGCTCCTACCAACATTAGATCTGTTGGCCAGTATTTGCGAAGTTTGCTCACCACAGAGATCGGATCAACTGTTCCTATCACAGTTAATTTCTTCTGCTTCATGTCCATAGAGATGGAATCTATCCCTGCAAGCACATAGCAGCAGATTGCTTTTGTTTAAAGAAATCGGGACAAAAGATCAACAGCTTCAACTATGGAAGACTCAATATAATCATAACAAACAAAATAAAAATTCTTTCAGTCCAATAACTTACATTTACTTCATTCCATGCGAGTGAGCCTCTGACTCTGTAATAGCATGTTTCATTACAGCTCCCTGAGTTGTGATATGCATTATTATTCGTGTCTGCTATCTTATATTTTATTTAATACTTAACCTGTAAGGCACACTTTTTGCGATTTATACCTACAATATCCCAAGTTTCTTAACTACATACTATGCGAGCAAAATGTAATTCTAAAGAAAGATACATAATCCTTACTCATCATGCTTAACTATATATATAGACGTAGCAAAGGTGTATTCCCTTTCCCTTTCCCTCCACCACAAATCCCTTCACAAATAAGAAACCCCATTTTAACTTTTTTTCAGATAATGCATCCCACTGTAGATTTATTGACAAGCTAACGGCCGATTAATGTCTTAATGATCTCAAGTAAAATGAGGATTTAGTATTTTTAGCCAACGAACAAAAATGAAGGATTAATATATCTCTTTCACCTACCACAACCCAGCAACTATAACAATAATATTTAAAAAGAGCATATGACAAATCAAAGTAACAAAAACACGCATCTAACAACTTAAGAATTTGAAGACCTAGATTCTAGACTACTTTGGTCATTTTTAGCAGTTCAAACATGAACGCAAAGAAAGTTAAGAGTACTGTAATCCTTAAACATGGGTGTAAATATGCAGTCCGGCATAAAAACGCACCCACAAAAATCTGCGAGGAACGCGTAGTTCCTCCAACGTTCATTTTCTCAGGATAAATAAATGGTTAGCGTGGAAATTGAAGAAGGCAGAATACTGTATAATACAACTTTTTTGTACCTGCAAGTGCTGAGACCGTTTTCAGAGCCTTCTGCTTGGCCCTGTCATCTTCCAATTCTAACTTGACCACAGCAAACTTCTGTAAGCACAAATCAGAAAGTGGTTCAGCTTAGATTCAAATAATTCCTATAAAAATATCATAACATGATATCAAACGAGATCTTAATTAACACATGAAAGCAAATACTTTTCTTCCAACAAGAAGCTCTGTTACTTCGCATAATAGAAGCGGCACAAATAATACATTCAATCCTGATTTGGGAGATAGCAAGATTCGGTTCAGAAATATTCAACTCAGATCTTACATAAGAGAGACGAAGTGAGAAGAGTACAGGTCGAGGAGAATCAGAATTGAATAAAAAATGATTGAGAAACGATTCATCGGTTTTCGCAGGAAAAAGGAAAAGCCAAAAAATCAAAAGCCGAAGTGGGAATCGTACCTTCATTTTAACAAGCAGGAATCTGCAGATCAAAGGCAGAGAGACGAGACGAATTTTGCGATGACGAGGAAATGGAGTTGGCCCCTGAGAGAGAAGGCAAACGCTAATCAAATCAAGATTTATCGAAAGAAGATTGAAAAAATAAGTAGGATACACATGGCATTAGAAATCCGGATCGAAAGTCGAACCAATGTAGATTAGGGGGGAGGGAGAGAGTTACAGGGTGGGGGGGTAGAGACAGAGTGAGTGTGTGTGAATCGCACGCAAATATATTGAAGTGTTGTGATGAGATTAAAAAGAAACCATGATCAGCAGTGATGCAGTTCTATCCACAGGGACAAGGCCACGCGTACTATGGAGCGCGTGACATTCGTTAGAGGCTTTTTGCTTGCGCGGGATGGCGGACGAGTCATGTCTGGTGAGCATTCCGTCCCGTTTGTTATGTTAGCTTTTTTTAAGGAACAAAAAACTTTTGTTACATGTTACTGTAAGCTTTCTTAAAATTTACAGTAATGTTTAATAATTTTTTCTATTTTACCTTATTTAATTATAAAATTTATCTAATTCCCTCCTCTGTTTTAAATTTTAAGTTTTTAGAGGATATTTTTTTATTTATTTTATATTTTTTAAAAATTCAAAACAATTTTTATTACTCCCTCCATTAAAAAATATAAGATATTTTAGTTTTTTAATGTATAATTATTTTCTTTTTTTAAAAGTGTACCATAATAATTTTATATTTATTATAGGATATTTAATAGAGATGAATATAAAAATAAAGTTAGTTAAAAAATACGTAACTACTTTTTTGGGAGGTAAAATTTAATTAAAAATATCTTATATTTTTAAATAAAGAAAGTAAGTTTTTTATTATATTCTTATTTAGATGTAATTTTGGCTACGTGACCAATATTCTTATTTATTGATTGTATCTTTAAATGGAGATATTATAATATCTAGTTTGTAATTTTTCTCTAATTATTAATTTAATCTCTAAACTTTTAATTCTATATAATTTAATCTTTTTAATTTATTGGGATAAGGAATTATAAAAGTTAACTTATATTAAGTCAATAAATTATAATAATTGAATTATTTTGAGTTAACAAACTGTAAGAATTGAATTATTTTAAATCAAAAGTTATCGATTAAATTAATAGTTGAGAAAAGTTTAAAAATAAAAAATTTTATTTTTTAAGTATATATACAAATACCTTAAAAGGCACATATTTTGAAATTGAATGAGCATTTAATACAATTAAATATTCACACATATTTTAACACAATTAAGGGAGGGACAAATTAGATAAAGCATACATCCCTCTCAAACGTATAAAAGATCTTTAATTGAATTACATTATTCATAAGTTAGTTATCTTTAAACTAATATATCTTTTTATATTTATTTTTATTTAATAAGGTGTCTCATTTAAAAGTGAAGGATTATGTGATTTATTCATGAAGAGTATATTTGGATAAATAGAGATTTTAATTTGGATTTAAATTAAATCTCTCAATTGAATTTAAAATGTGAAATTTTAAAATTTAAATTCAAATCTACTTATTCAAACACTATCTTGGATGTATTTTTGAAAAAAAAAACTCATTAATTTCACATTAAAAATAAAAAATATCTTATATTTTTTAACATGCAATTTAAAAAATTCTTTATATTTTATAATGAAAGAAGTTTCATAATTTTTTACATGCTTATTATTTTTTTAATCCGTTTGCGTCGTTAAGAACATTAAAAGACAAATATAATGAAATGAAGAAAATATTCAAAATATTATAATTTATATAGTAGTAGGTGATACATCATAAATACTAGATTGTAATCTAAAATGGATCTTATAAGACATGGAATCAAGTAACAAAGATGATGGAAATCAAAGGATGAGTCAAAATTTAATATTTAGCATATTTGATTTGTTGTAAAGTATTGGAGGACCAATTACTAGATTCAGAACTAAAAAGATGAAAAAAAAAAGCCTTACATTCATTAATTAGATATATCTCACATAATCAATGAATCCTAAAGATAAATGAAGTTCTAGAAAATTTAAAAAAAAACTTTCAACATATTGGATCTAACCCAAAATATTCAGGTCTATGAGTTCAATTAGTTAGTTATCATTTTTTCTTAAAATTAAAAAATTAGTCTACCCTATTTTAATTTTATATTTAAGTTTAGAAAAATTAGTTTATTTTGTTTTAAATTTAAATAAGGATAAAATATGTCAATTAGGATATGATTTATTCATTTGGAATCCTAGATTAACTAGGACTATATCATTTAAATTTTTAAAAGTTTATTTAAATAGTTCGGCCTTTATATTTTTAAGAAGAATTATTGAACTTATTAATTAATTTTTTAATTGTGAGGCTACTTCAATTAGTATTGTTTTCCATAAAAAAAACACACGATGAGATTTCGAGTTATCATGAGCTATCGTTCGATTGCCCTGTATGAAACAATTTCATACTTCTCTCAATCTTATTTACAAAACAAAAGGAGAAGAAGAATTTTTTTAGTTCTTCTTCTATATCCTAAAATAGAACATAAAAATAATTAAAAAATAAATATAATATATCATAAAATATATGTAAAAAATTAAATAAGTTTGTTTTGGGAAAGCAAACCATGAATTAAGATTTGTAAATTTTTGTGAAGTTTTTATTTTTTATTGTATAAAATAGCTTTTTTTTTTGACAAAATAATATAATAAATTTACTACTTTTCAATTTCAGATTATGAGCATGTAAAATCTAGGTCGAACACCAGACCTAATGTTTTCATTAAAGAGAAAACCAAACCAAACCAGACCTGTATTAATGAGTTTCGATTGATTTAGGTAAGTTTGATTTGATTCGGTAAGCTTGGTTTACGTTTCAGAACACTCAGTTGAAAACCCCGTTTGGTGCGCCACCAAACAAACTGCAACGTTGGAATGATCGGCTCAGCTAGGTGGGCCCTTCTGGCGGTGCCCTACTCATCAACAGTGTACCAGGATCCATAAAGTTGTTGCATAATTCTTCTATTATTCAAAAAGGTGACTATTATGGTTGGAACATGTAAAATTAGTACTCACCCTGTACTGCTGCCACACTATAATAATAAAAATCATGAATGTCATTTACTTGTGTAAATATATTAATAACAAAAAAATAAAACAACATTATTTGTTTGGCAGCAACACCCACGCTGAATGCTGAGACGTACGCTAAGAGTAATTTTTGTTTGTGTAAGGCGGCGTGCGTTTGGCCTGTGTGGTTCTAGAAAGATGTCAGAATTGGTGAAGGAGGAGGGGCGCGTGAAGAAACGGAAAGGGGGCCCAGCAGTGAAACTGTGTCGGGTTTTCACGAATCTGGAAGCACGTGTGGCCCGGCAGCACGTAGGATGAGGCCAGGCCAAGTTGCATGCGCAGGCCTCCTCCTCGGTGGATCCTATCTCATCCTCTTGACTTTCGCCCTCCCTCCCGCCGCCCATTCTTGCCTTTTCAAATCTCCTTTCCTTATCAACTTTAATTATTCCCAACATTATTTAATCTGAACATAGTCCCCATTCTACATTTCTCCTTTAATATATATAGGGTTATACATGAACAGGCACTGGCCAGTCTCCATCTCAACCTAAAACCCCGCCCAATGCAATACTCCAGGCATCGAGCCGCTTGAAAGTCTGAAACGGGTTTGGCCGAAACCCAATCTATTTTTAAATCAACAGAAAATATAATTAAATTTATTTAAAATACATTTCTTATAAAACTTATCCTAGAATTCAAATTAATCATTTTAAAATTTTATATGCTTAACAATTATCCATATTTTTCACTAGTTGGAAAAATCAATTTAATATTTTAAAAACTTGTAAAAATTAAAATTATAAAAAATATCTATAACAATCATAAAAACAATATAATAATAAAAATCCTAAAAAACAATTACTTTGCTTCAAGAATAACTCCTGGTGCACAATCAGGTATTAAAAGTGTTTTGTCAATTAAAAAAGCACATCACAAAGCAAAGATTGTCATTTGTGAGTGATTTGTTATCAATTCCATTTCTTTCAATACATTGAATTGTCCATTCTTTTAAAAAGCTATCGATGTAATTGCTGCTATAGGACCTAAATTTAAAGGCTATACTGCTTATGATATGAGAGTGAATTTGTTAGGGGATTTGAAACGAGAATGTCATTGAATTGTTGATGCTCATCAAAGTAGATGGGAAAGTAATGGTTGCACATTAATGGCTGATGGTTGGACTGATATTAAGCAACATACATTGATAAACTTTTTAGTTCATTTTATGAAAGGTATAGTATTTGTAAAGTTTGTTGATACTTTAAATTTAGTCAAAGATGCCAAGACATTATTTCAGCTATTTAGTAAAGTGATAAAGTAGATTGGCTTTAAAAATATTGTTTATGTGGTGACTGATAATGCAACCAACTAATAATAAAAAATCCTAAAAAATAATTATACAAAATAATAAATTTTTTATATAAAATTAAAACAAAAAGTTAAAAAGCATCTACATCTTCAAGTTAGGCAGGGCAGGGGTCAATGCCTGGCTCGACCAACCCAACTAGCTCAAGCAAGGTGGGGGCAACCACACTGCATCAACAACCCTAAATAATATATGTGTACAAAACTAATAATATGGGTGAGTTGGATTTAAAATACAATTTCATTAAGCCTCATCTTAAATGTTTTTTTTAATTTATTCAAGCTATTCCAAAATTACTAACTTAATGTGTGTGTATAGGTGTATATATATATATATGCTCTTTCTGATCATATTTATAAGACACCTTCTATAAATAATTTTTAATCTAAAATATAGGACACCTTGTAATAATTAAATCACTTTTTTCAATTTTACCCTTTCTTGATTAGTGTAAAAATATTTAATAAAGTTGTATTATTATTTAAGTCAAGGGTTAAAATGAAAGCACATATTACTTTTTTATAATATTAAGAAAAAATAATTTATTTTAAGATACCTGAAAGTATCCTATAATAAGAATCGGAAAGAATATGTTCATTCTTCAAATTAATAAAATATCATGATGACTTAGAAAAAATTGACATGCGTGTTTTTACTATGAAGAGTGAGAATGTTTCGTTGAATTATATATGTCTCATGAACATATTAGTTAATATAAAAGAAAAATTAGAAAATTAATTTTGAAAAAATACCAAGGTTGCTACAATTTGAATTAAACTTAGCTGAA